TTCTTATATATATATATATATATATATTATACTTTCAAAATTTGAATTTTAATATATATTTATGCATTTAAATATTTATTCTTTTGTACTTGTCCAAATTTATATGTGTTTAAAAAATATTACGTCTATAGCTTCAAAAAGAAAGCATAACTAAAACTTATTGGACTAAATAATATTCTAATTATTATAGTTTTCTTATAGTCGATTTAAAGCGCGCAAGATCGTACTTTTATAATGTTATCGATAACAACATTTACGAATAAATACTTGTGAATGATTGTTGAAGAAGCTAATCGTGTTTCAATTGAACTCATATAAGAGTTAACTGAGATTTGTCTTCTTTCTTTTGTTTTGTCCCGTTTCTGCATTATGACATTATGACATAACGCGCAACGAATAAGATTTTGTTCAAGTAATCTCTTGGTATATTCATGAAAATATATCGAATAGCGAAAAAAAATCTGTGCGAAGCTTTCCGCATTCCGCGAAAGAAGATGTGGTTTACTTAATTGTACAAATTTCGAAAATTTACGATGTACAGAGATGTTAAATATCCAACACCGAATATCCTGTCCCGCTTTAAAACCTGTCCGGTGAGTTCCCTCCCCTCTTCGCTCCTAAAAAGAACCTATAACCTTTTCTATCCTCACTCTTTCCCTCTCGTTCTTTTGTTTTCTCTCAGGTCCGTCATTTTTCTGCACTCTTGTCTTGGGACCAAAGAGTGGATACAAGAGATAGAGTGTTTTATCTCAAAATTAAACTAAAGAGAAGAATCGCACTAGCTTTGATCTAATCTAGATGAAAATTTTTACACATATTTATTCGACAAATTTTAATAATAAAATCAGTTTCACAATAAAATGTACCTTTTATTGAGAGTATAGCATTACGAAATTAGATCAATAATGTAATCTAATTTTCAATTTCTTTTAAGAAGTATCTCATTTTTCCCTTTGACCTGATCAGATGTTTACTTTTATTTTAAAATTTGCTCAATATATGAGCTTTAAATTAGTGCAATAGAAGACTAGTAAAAAATTATTTTATAATTGATTTACAAACAATATCTTTAATTTATTTCTATTGTTAATAATTTTTTACTAAAATTCCCTTTTCTTTTATTTAGTTGTTATAATTTTAATAACATTAAATATTTTATTAATTTTTACTTATTATTAATTAAAAATTACTACATGATTTTTTAAATTAATTTAAGATAATTCTTGTGCTTTAGAATTTATTAATAAATAAGATATAAAATATTCATTATTAATAAATAAATTCTCATTTTTTAAGAAATGCATTTATCTTAAATTTTTTTATTTTAAATTTTTAATTGTTACTTTGTAATTTAATTTTCGAACACAGTTAAAGTTAAAAATTTTTATATTTTATTATTTGGCTGATTATTTTATTATTTTATTAATTTAAATTACATTGGTTCACTAACAATTCAACACTTTTTTTTCACAAAATGCACTCTGTATCTATAGTCAAAATCACTTTTAATAAATTTCAATAATTAACGTACACGTTAAAATTTCACTTTTCAATGTTAGTAAAAATAACTTATTTTTGTATATACACATTTGATAATGTGTTTCAATCTTTGTTGCTCGTTATGATGATGTTGATATTTCCGGAGGCTTCAAAATTTAAAAACGTATGCACGTCATTGCACATCCGTCGCCTACGATCGGCAGAAGCATACTGAAGAACAGAATACATACGTGTTTATCATCGAGGCGCTTTCATCTGTGGTCGGCACAATATCAGTATGCTTATATATCAGCATGTTTATATCATATTTATATTTTGTCACATCGTTAAATTTAATGAACTTAATTTATACACCGAAAACTGACATGTGTAGTAATGAATTTCATTAATATTAATTCATGTTTTATTCCAATATTTGAAGACCTTTTCGAAAGAAAATATATGTTACGTAAGATATTATCTAGTTAAATAAATTACGACAATGCAAGGTAAAACTTAAAATTTAATAAAAGATAAGAATAATGCAAGAGGTAATGTAAGTAAATGCACAGGACAAAACAAATGACCGCAAAGTGAAGAAATATGCGTAATGATGACCACAATTAAAAATTTCGCACTACGTCTGCAGGTTTCCATGCTTACTCTGCTTAATAACAAACGTCAAAAATATACTGTGCAACTACGAATACAATGGCTACGATAACAAAGGCATTTGTATTAATTCTTTTAATATAATTAAATATGTTATATAGATTATCCATTTATCTATATATTAACTCTAATTAAAACAAAGAAAATTATCTTACATTTAATCTGGTGATATTATCCATAATTACATTCGTAAATTATTTTTTATAGGTCTTCTATTTCTTCTTTTCTTCTCTATTTTGATTTGGGTTACTAAATAATTAAATTCAATATATTTTAATTTTAATTTATAATTTTAACTTTGTTACCATTTTGAAAGCATTGGTAAAAAAGTAATAATAAAAGAAAAATTGAAAAAAATAATTTTTTATTCAAATATATTTTTAATTTTAAAATTCGGTTCATAATCAACGCCTTCTGCGCACGCCTGAAAAATAACCTATTATTTCAGAAATTTGTGATTCTGCGTAATCATATCAGACAGACATCTTAATTTACTGCATATTTTACAGATTTCAGAATACAAACTATTGTTTTTACTACATTTTTAAGAAAAAAATTAGGAAAATAAAACTGTAAAATAAAGCAAGAAACTTACTGCATGTCATTTCTTGTCTACGACGTCACAAATCAATATAGCGTTGGCGAAATAATCAAGTCTTAAAAAGGCTATTTTTAGAGTTAAATTATTTTTTTTAATTATTCTTAATTTGTATAATATAAAATATTTCTCATTAATTTAATACAATGGAATAGGCTTTGAAAATATTTTGCTAAAAAAAAATAGTTTGTATAAAAAAAAAATTGAGATACTCATGATTTTCTTATTATTATTAAATAATATTGATAATATTAAGATTAATTAATATTGGTATAATTATTAAAATTTTTAAAATTATTAAAATTTTTTTGTTCTTCTTTTGCATTCAGTGATATAATGACAACAATAACTCCACAAAAAGATTTTTTTCTTGGAACACATATTGCTATCTATCTTATATGTGCATTGTACTGAAAAATTAAATAATTCAGACATGACATCACACAAGCGTCTGAATTTAAGACTTACTCGCAGCTCACCATGAGATAAATTAAGATGATAAAATAAAAGCTTCTTAGAATTAATGCCGCTGTCGTGATCCAAATGTGACTCTTGTGTTATTATTGTTGATTATTTTATTTTTGCTATTTTATTGTTACAGTTAAATACTTATTAATATTGCATGTTGATTAATATAGGGAATAATTGTATAAATGAATATTGTTCGATTAAACCATATTTATATGATTGAACATTTGGTCAAACTGAGCAATTTTTTTTTCACTAAATGCGTTCAAAAATAAATAACTGCATTGCAGTCGCGCTACTACAAATAATATCGGATCATCGGATATTGATTTGGAAATTTCATGACTAATTGGCAGTCATCTAATAAGTATAAGTACGCAGTAATAACAAACAAAAAATGCATTTAATCATCATTATT